CTGGACAGGTCCTTAGCAAATGATCTGCCCTGTAAGGTTTTCCTTTATCCAAGAAAACAAGTAAACCCTCTGGGACTACTGCTGGCCTGATCTCTCTTGATATCCAGTGTCCTTTCTAGTGGCTTGAGTTTCTTCCATTTGTCTGATTATAATCTTTTGTCATTATTCTCATTCTCTATGACTGGTCATCTAAACACCTGGGGAGTAATTGCTAACTTTCTCCTTAGTGCAGATTCGAATTGAAAATCTCACCTACCCATTTGGAGATGGTAGATCGCTCCTTCTGATCTGATAAAAATGTTCTCTCATACTTCTCTCCCCTCTCCTCCAGCCATTCCTCTTTTAGCTCTCAGTTTAAATGCTCTCTAGAGAAGAGCACCCCAAGTTCCACAGTTGAATGCCCTGCTGTACACTCTCTTTCCACCCTGCACCCTCCTGCTAGGACCCACACAGTCTACCTCCCACGGGACCCTAAGCTCCACTGAGGGAGGCCACCTCTGTATTTAGGTCACTGGTGTTCCCAGGTCCAGGCGTAAAGTCTGGAGCCAAAAAGGTGTTCAGTGAGAACTGTTGATGGATCTTCTAGTTACTAAATGCTATGCTTTTACTGTGTTCCCCCAAATTCATGGGCTAGAAACTTAACCCCTAGCAAGATCCAGGAGTGCAGGGGTAGTGGCCAATCCAGGTTATCTTCTCACTGTAGGCTGGAGGCTTTGTCGATGATCAGACATGTGGTACAAGAAAAAGAAAGTTGTAAAGGGTGAGCCTAGGTGTCTGGTGTGAACAACTGGAAATATGAAGCTACCTTTCATTAAGAAGGGAAAGTCTTCCCTGAAAATATTCCTAAAATTCCTGTGGGGTCAAGAAGGCCCCCTATCAAACTTCATTTTGCTAAGAGGAAACAAGAACACAGAGAACTCGGGACTGAATTAACATCAGAAAGAAAATAAGTGGCTGACTAGAATTTAAAGTCTGAATTCCACAATAGAGGCCAACTAGACCAAACAGCTCACTGTAGATATTAAAAATAAAAAGTTGCATAATATTTGAAATTAGAAAATATTACCTCCCCCAAAAAGACACAAATCACACTGATGGAGAGAAACAAAGACAATCTCATTTGCAGAAAGTGGTACAAACAAACAAAATCTCCAGCAAGATTAGATGGAGCTCATTTGCAATGTTCCTGTTACAGGCATTGAGGACAAATTTTATGTGCTATATAATTTCGCTTAATGCTCACTGCCATTTATTGGGCATTTACAATGTGCCATGCAATGACCCAGCTGATTTGGATTGATTAAATCATTAAATCCTCACAAATAACCCAAATGAAGCTGGGTGTATTATTATCATCCTTGTTTTACAGAAGAGGAATGAAAGGTCAAAAGAGGTCAAGCAACATGCGTTGCTAATAAGCCAAGTGTGAGATCCAAATCCTGGAGCTTGGTTCTGGAAGCCACACACTTGGTCATGAGGTGGGAGCCCCCTCCAGCTCAGCTGTTCTGGCTACAGCAGACCTGGGACTTTAGATAACATAAAACCACTCAGTTTGCTTCATCTGGTCTCAAGTTCTCTTGTTCCATACCTCTCCCCTCCAACTGAGTGATCAGAGATGGAAATAACTGCCATGTTTTAGTGCCAGACTTAGTGAAGGTAATGATTAAAACCTTTTCATACAAATCAGAAAAGATTCAGCAAAACCTCTGGGGAATGTCCACAATGTATAAAATGTCTAGAGAGGCCCTTAGAGAAAGGATATGGTAAGATCTACAACAATTAGAAAGTGTTCTCTCTCTATATATCTATATCTATATCTATATCTATATCTATATCTATATATGTTTGTATATCAAAATGAAGTTTGATAGGGTACCTTCTTGACCTCACAGGAATTTTAGGAATATTTTCAGGGAAGACTTTCCCTTCTT